TTCTCCCATAAAGTTCTAGCAAGTAAAGTGCACCACTAAAGGATTTCACCTTCAATGGACCACAAACATCAAAATGTACCAATTGCAACAACTCTGACTTTCTTGAGGGAGTATGCTTCTTGAAGGATACTCTGGTTTGCTTGCCAGCCATGCAACCTCTTGGACTTCTTGGCCTTAGTGTTATTCCATCAAGGGGTAGCAGGGTGCAGCACCACTCTCATCTGCATAATCCTATTTCAGACAAGCTGCGGGATAATTGTGGTAAGCTGGTCCAAATTCCAATCATCATCAGTAACAAGATTCTTCACCAACAAATCCATATCATACAAAGGAACATATAGGACCTCCAATGAGAGCTGGGAGCCATCCAGCCAAGGGTCAAACCAACAACTACAGTTACCATTACCAAGTTGAAGGCGAAATCCATCATTGATATTAGCATAAGCGTTCCTCAACGAGGTGACTAAGTAAGAACCTCGCCTCTCCAACATATTTTACAGGTTCTCTCCTCCATATTTAGCTTTGACAAATTGCACCCACAACTTATTTGGGCGATGAAGGATGTCCTAGATAAGCTTTCCAAGGAGGGCAATATTTTGCCAACGAGACACATGCACACCAAGACCCCCATCTTTCCTCTTCTTGATAACCATATCCCACTTCACTAGGTTGATCTTTCTGTCCATATTACCACTCCAAATGAATTGACGACCCAACAAGTCCAATTTATCGCACACCTGCTGAGGAATCCACTGCATTTGCATGGTGTAAGTTGGAATTGAAGTAACAACATAATTCACTAAAATGACCCTTCCCACCCTATTTAAGAGCTTCCCTTTCCAGGCTGCAAGCCGACGCTGGACTTTCTCCACCAAGGGCCTAAAGAACTCACTCGAAACTCTATGATGGACCATGTCATAACCCAAATATCTGCCCAGGTTACTTGTGAATTGAATATGGGTAATATTAGATATCTTGTTCCTTCTTCTAGGAGTGACACCTCTAGAGGCAAAGGCCTTAGATTTCACAAGACTAACCTTCAATCCTGAATCAGCACAAAACTGGTGTAGTACTTCTCCACTACTCACACATCTGAAGCTTTTGCTTTAGTGAAAAGAAGAACATCATATGCAAAGAGAAAGTGGGATAACTTTGGGCCCACCCTACCAACCTGGATAGGTTGCCAAGAGCCATTCTCCATTGCTTCCCTGATCATATATCCTAATTTTTCCATGCACAAAAAAAAAACAAATAAGGGGATAGAGGATCTCCTTGCCGGAGTCCCCTCTTAGGCAGGAATTGCTCGGAACGCTTTCCGTTCCACAAAAGACAGAGAGATGCCGAGGTAATACCATGCAAGATGAGAGATATTATTTAGTCTAGGAAGCCAAAGTCACACAAAACCCTATGCAGAATCTCCAATCCACTCTATCATAGGCTTTCTCTAGGTCAAGTTTGAAAATAACATCCCCCTCTTTCTTTCTAGATGATTGCATACTGTGTATGACTTATTGAAGAATGATTGCATTGTCGGTGGTACTTCTGCCTAGAATGAAACTACTCTGCATGGGACTTATCAAGTTATCTGACAAGGGTCTTAGTCGGTTCACAAGGACTTTAGAGATTAATTTATAAAGAACGTTGCATAAACTAATAGGTCGAAAGTCCGTGAAATGCCTTGGGTTGTCAGTTTTCTTTATAAGGATAATCATAGTCTCCGTCGCCTTAGGATCAAACGTGCCTGTAGCAAAAGCATTCCTCACAAACTTCCATATATCATCCCCAATAATGTTCCAGAAGAGCTTATAAAAGATGGGTTGGAACCCGTCAGGGCTTGGAGCCTTATACGATTTCATACCCATAAGCGCTTCATACACCTCAACCTTAGTAACATCTCTATTCAAGCTATTCGTATCTTCCTCAGTCAGGGTGGTCATAAACAATTGGTTTGAATAGAACTAGATTCAATTTTTTAAAGTAAAGTCTCAAATTCAAATCCTGTGTACAAAAAAAGGTAAAAATCAATCAATGAAAATTAGTCATTAGTGAATTAGTAGATATCTCATACCAATAATATAGTTACATAAAAAATGACTTCTTTAAAATACAAATATTTATGGTAATAACATGTTATATTTATCTTTAGTTTCAACGACTATATCCAAACTAACTAACTAACTAACTCTCTAACTCTCACTCTCTCTCTCTCTCTCTCTCTCTCTCTCTCTCTCTCTCTCTCTCTCTCTCTCTCTCTCTCTCTCTCTCTCTCTCTCTCTCTCTCTCT